CCCAACGGCATATTCGTTCGCACCTTCACCTTATGATTCAAGAAATACGGTCTTAAAGCACACTTCTCAATCTCCGAATACCTCGTCTCTGCTCCTTGCATTACTCTACTCACATAGTAAATAGGGAGTTGTGCTGTTCCTTCCTCCCGCAACAATACCGAACTTACAGCTCTCTCCCCGATGGAAATGTATAGCACCAGCTCCTCTCCTTGCACGGGTTTGGCCAATAAAGGGAGGTTGGCCAACACCCCTCGCAGCTCCTCAAATGCTTTTTGCGCCTCCTCCGTCCATTAGAACTTCGCGCTCTTTTTCAGGGTTTTGAATAATGGGCCACTTTTCTCCGCCACCTTCGATATAAAACGACTCAGCCCCGCAATTCGACCGGCTAAAATCTGCACCTCTTTTACGTTTGTTGGTGACTTCATCTCCATCACAGCTCGAACCTTCTCCGGATTGACTTCAATACCCCTCTTGGTCACCAGATAGCCCAAAAATTTGCCCGACCTCACCCCAAAAGAGCACTTGGCCGGATTCAGCTTCATCCCGTATCTCCGCAACGTCAAGAATGTTTCTTCCAAATCTCGCACATGATCCAATTCCTCTTTACTCTTCACCAACATATCATCTACGTATACCTCCATATTCCTTCCCAGTTGCTCCTTCAAAATTTTATCGACTAACCTTTGATACGTGGCACCCGCATTCTTCAAACCGAACGGCATGACCACATAACAATAGGTCCCCCGACTCGTCACAAAACTCACCCGCTTCCTATCCTCTCTAGCCAAGGGGATTTGATGATACCCCTGGGATGCATCCATCAGACTCAGCAACTCGCACCCTGCCGTTGAGTCGACCAACTGGTCGATCCTGGGCAGCGGATATAGGTCCTTCGGGCACGCCTTGTTTAGGTCACGGAAATCAATGCACATCCTCCATTTTTCTCCCGACTTCGACACCATCACCGTGTTCGATATCCACTCAGGGAACTGAATCTCCTTAATATGCCCCGCTCCCAACAATTTGTCGACCTCCTGCTCGATAATCTTGTCCATCTCCGCCCCATGGTGCCTCCTTTTCTGCTTCACCGGCCTCACGCTGAGGTCGATATTTAGTCGATGTTCGATCACCTCGGC